AGAGATAGAGAGAGAGAGAGAGAGAGATGAAAAGGAGATGAGAAATGAAAGATAGAGAGATGAGAAATGAAAGGGAGATGAGAAATGAAAGGGAGATGAGCAATGAAAGCTAGAGAGATGAGAGAGATGAAAGACAGAAATAAAGAGAGAGAGAGGATAGGGAGAGAGAGAGAGAGAGAGAGAGAGAGAGAGAGAGAGAGAGAGAGAGAGAGAGAGAGAGAGAGAGAGAGAGAGAGAGAGAGAATGAGGATAGAGAGAATGAGGATAGAGAGGTAGAGAGAGAGAGAAATGATAGCCAAACAGATAGAGACAAACTGAATGAACGAGAACGAAAAAATAAACAAACAAACGAATAAGTGAGAGATAAGACACGAGAGAAAGAGCGAACGCACGAGAAACAGACAAGGAGAGGACAATGAGGAGATGGTTTAAGAGGGCGGAAGAAGATGGAGAGCCTCTGCTGACGTCATCAAGGTTTTCCCGCGCTTTTATCCGAAATTCGAATTTTTTGGGGGAGGATTTTTTTTTCCTTAGTTTTATTTATTTATCTATGTATTTATTTTATTGCTTTAAGGGCTTTGAGGGAAAGATTAAGCCTGTGTGGAAGGGGAGAGGAGACATGAGGCTCTAGTCTCCTCTCCTCACAGGTTCGAAATACATTATCACTACTTAAAGCATGAAAATGAAATAAGTTTCCATCTCTTACTAAAGAATTGCTTCCTTTATAAAGGGGTCGAAAGATTACCCAATCTTAGCAATTACACATCGCTAATTATCGATATGATTTAAGTGTATATTCGAATAATTCCACTTCTTAAAAAATGTATATGTAATTTTTACAACAAATTCAGTATTGCCGCAACAACGCAATACAATATTTGCTGTTTTGGCATACAATATTGGATAAAAGCTAATCTAGATTCCATTATCTTCGCAACATCGATTACATCCATCTATTAAATTCAACCTTATACACAAAGTCAAAAAATCTCCTAAAACACTCATGTCACTCCCAAGCACATGAAAAAAACTATTATCCAAGAAATATCTATGCTTTCCTGTCAGAACACAAATATAAACAAACGAACTCAAGAAAACACACAAAACACAATCATAGATTTCTGATTGTCACTGCACTGATTAAAACATAAAATTGTGATATAATCATAATATTTGCATTCATAAACGAGTACATATGCAGATAATACTTCCAATAATCATATCCCAAAAAAACGAGCAAACATCATGGGGAAAAAACATGATAACTTTCAAGTGTCGAATTTCTCAACTGTCCTCTTTATTTTTTACTTTGATATATTAATCTAAGAATCTGCAGGAATCATAACACGTTCGACCATAACACCATTCACTACTCACCAAGTCACTCATTTATGCCTCACATTCACGTTACAACTCCAAACCTTAGTTACTACGCATCCTCGTGTCCTCTCCTTCCCTTCGCAAATTGTATACTGAAATGGTTGATCTTAGTGTAGATACTCCCATAGCCTTTTCGAAACGAGCTGTTTGGTAGTTACTTGCCTTTCATTCTGGTTTCGTCTTTATGGATTTCTTCTTTAAAGGTGAAAATGTTCATCCAATGGCTTGTATGTTGACAGTGTCTATGCCTAGTTGCCGGATGTAGTCTTCACTAGTAAAGGAAATTCTGTAAAACGCTAAAGCTGGCACGCTCTCCCTTCTTTGTAGTGCTGTATATATGGTCGTTGAGAAACATGTATGTATATCTAGTCCAGCGATTTCACTGTGTGCGTTTTCTATGATAACGAAGAAAAATTGTGATATCCGTTTGCATTATTATAAACGAGTCACATTTTAAGTGACAAATATCCTTCGCAGTCTTTTGTAGTCAATAACTCACAATTAAAGAAACCGTCAGGTATGCTTTGCAAAGTAAACGAAGAGAGGAAACCACCGACATCGGCACTTGACGTTTTTTAAGCCCGGCCTGGATTTCGCTTATTTCATTCACCGAAAAACTGCTGACCCCAGTTGACCTGTGTGGAAGTTTGTCCCGGCTGATATATTTCTCGCCGTGATATATAATTCCCTTCATCCCTTGAAGAGTATGTTGTAGATTTGTGTTTGCATGCGTTTCATAAAGTTCATGATGATAATATTTAGAAATTCGAGCGAGAGCTATTTTTTTTCTTTTTTTTATTCATGGTACATATGCAAATTCAATTACGTAAAATAAAATGTTTCGTCCACCATGCAATGCAACTCCCTGCAATACTAAAAACTGATAGATAATAGCAAATTGTTCCCAGTGATAACAGCAATACTTCGAATAAAATTTGCTCAGATATAAGCTTTAAAAGGATGGAACATCTGTTCTTTGTAGTCTTGGACACAATCAAAGACTTCGATATTTACAGTACATTATCAAACGTTTCACATCGTGTTATTTATAAGCTCCTCTTCTCTTTTAAACGAACGTAATTTCTATAAATATTTGCTGAATGCATATTAGTTAAGAGGCTTATGATTAAAACAGTATAGAGTCCATGGATATATGACTGCTAATGGTGGAAATATAGAAGCAAATTCAAAAACGTATCAGCTCCGGAAAATAAATCCCGAGGCTGATTCCCAGACGTAAAACTTGCGCATTTGCTAAACATTAGAAAGATTTGTCCAATATCCCCAAAAAATATCTCTGGACAATAAAAAGGCCGGAAATTCACACCCGAACATTTTCCCATTTCATTTTCATAACTCCCTGTAGACTGATAAGATTTTTTTCCCCGTGTTTTTGGTGATCATTTCCGAAAACGGGTTCTAGTTTATCGGGGAATCGCTAGTCGCATGTGGTTTCATAATCGCAAAATCTAGTGGATGTCTTTTAATCTCTCATTGCAAAATTGTTGATTCGCAAATAATCTTTGTTTTCGTTTCTTTGCATTGATTTCTTACCTCTTTCTTTTATTGATTCGTATTATATACACACGCCCAGATATATCCATATATTGTATGTATGTATGTGTATACATATATATGTATATATATACATATATATATATATATACATATATATATATATATATATATATATATATATATATATATATATATATATATATATATATATATATATATATAGAGAGAGAGAGAGAGAGAGAGAGAGAGAGAGAGACAGACAGACAGACAGACAGACAGACAGAGACAGAGAGAGAGAGAGAGAGATGTATATATGTGTGTGCGTATGTATGTATGTATATTTAAATCTATATCTATCTATATAAGCACACACACACACACACACGTGTAAGTATATAAGACTGTGTTCGCCCGCGCTCCCTATATAAAGACAGAACAGATATATAAACACGAAAACAAACACTGTCTCATTCGAAACATCATATCACCAAGAGCACCATATCCACAGTGAATTATAATGGAACAGAAAACATTTAAAACTCGCCCTACCACAGTTGGAAATCTGTATTGATAATCGCAATGGGGAATGTATGTGAATCACCTACAGACCCATGGAAAAGCCTTTCATTCTGATTAGACCTATTTGTTGCTTCACTCTGGGGATGGAGGGGGACTGCATCTAACCGTGAATCAGGCAATATGTGTTTGTGTATGTGGTTACTTGTGTGTTTGTTTGTGTGTATTATATTGAGATTTATTGCTCTTTAATAGTATGAATTGAGCTTTATAGGTTTTCATTGGGAGGTATCTGTTATTTTTTTTTATCTAACTGGTTAAAATCTTATTTTCACTTCAGCTATTGCTGTGTACAATGCTGTCTTTAGGAAAAATAAGGTCAGAGGTTTACACATATATACATGTGTGTGTGTGTGTGTTTGATTAAACATAGATGAATGAATATATATATATATATATATATATATATATATATATATATATATATATATATATATATATATATATATGCATTTGTACATGCATATATACATATATTTATTTATTTATCTACCTACTAATTTATTCATATAGACACACGGATGTTACAGCCCTCATGGCAAATTACATATTCAAGTAATCCACTTCCTCACACTTGTGAATGCCATGATGTGACCCAAATAGCATGTTCTAGATACATACAGGTACTCCACAACGACCAAATGACTCCTGTAATAATATTGCTTTTTTATTAAGGACTTGTATCTATTTATTTAGGATTTGTAAATTGTTGGAAACTTTTTCTTTATATTTCAATTGAAATGCATGAAGTCCTATTGAGTAACAGTTGATGGCAAGTTATCATGATTGAAACCATTTTTATTTGGGATGCAGGTCAGTAACAGGATACACTACTGAGTATTTTATAAAAATCTATGATTTGAAAATTGATGAAATAAAATAAGAATGCCCTGTAAATTTATAGGGAGAGTGTGTAATTGTTTAAGGGGAATAAAGAGATATTTAAAGAAAATTAGCCCTCAGGATACAATCACATATACATGCATACATACATATATGATATATATATATATATATATATATATATATATATATATATATATATATATATATATATATATATATATATATGTGTGTGTGTGTGTGTGTGTGTGTGTATATATATGTATATATATATATATATATATATATATATATATATATATATATATATATATATATATATATATGTATGTACATATATGTATATATATAAATATATATATATATATATATATATATATATATATATATATATATATAAATATATATATATATATATATATATATATATATATATATATATATATATATATATATGTACATATATATATATATATATATATATATATATATATATATATATATATATGTATATATATATATATATATATATATATATATATATATATATATATATATATATATATATATATATATATATACATTTATATATATAATATACATACAAACACACACGCACGCCCTGGTATCTGCCACAAAAAATTGGTCAACTGCAAAGGCCTCTTGAATAAAAACAAACCTACTCATGTTTGAATTTTTATTTATGAAACATTTGCATGCTGAAAAAAATAACGATTCTTTAACAACCCCCGTTGCATAAGTACATTCATATATCTCTCAACGACGATGATATGGGCATATGACAGGCGCATCTATATCCAAATAACCACATACCCACACGCCATACCCACACGTCATTCAGAGAACACGTACCCATTTATCATCCTATCCAAAGAGATCCTCCAGCATCCCTATCACCACGACCCATTATCATCAACAGACACCATCTCCCTTTTCCCTTTTACTTCAGCATCCCACGGGCGGCAAGGTCAGCCTTCAGTGCCTCCTTCATGGCTGGCGTGAAGGGCTTGACAGGGAGACGGGAAGGACCCACATCGAGGCCTGTCAGGATTGTCATGGCGGCCTTCACTCCTGCGACCGAAAATCCTCCAGCTGTTCGAGGAGGAATTTTGGGTTAATTTCGGGGAAGAGAAAATGGGGGAATAATTTTTGCGTTGAAGGGGTTTTGTTGCGTGGACTTGAATGGGGGGGGGGGGGGGTTCGTTGTTTTGTCTGTGTGTGTATTTGGATGTCGCCTGGATGTCACTGATTCTCTCTTTGCGTGGAAACAAAATGTGCATATACAAAGGGCAAGAAAGTAAAACAAGAAGAAAAATCAGAATGCAAAATAAAAGAATAACAAACAAAATCAAATACATTAAACAGATTACAAAAAATCACCTATGTAAAACTGAATTCAAGACAAAATAACATAATCAAAACAAAAGCAAATACATAAAACAGAATACAAAATAAAATAAAATAAAACAATGTGAAACTGAATTCAAAACAAAAAAAATAAAATAAAATAGTGTGAAACTGAATTCAAAACAAAATTAAACAAACAAACAAAAAACAAAAGCAAATACATCAAACAGAAAGGAAAATAAACAAAACCCCCAAAATCATACTCTGCTTGAAGATGACCCCCAGCAGGTTGACAATGGCCTTCTGAGCTTCCCTGGCTTCCTCGTCTTTGCCTGCTTTCATGAGGGAGAAAATATCAGCTGCATGATGCGCGCTGAAGTTGTAGCACACGTTCACGCCGCAGCTGAAGCCTTGACTGACGGCTTCCTGGAGGTGCTGAAAGGGTGGAGAGAACGAGTTAAATATTCCAGTGATTCAGGAACAATAATGAAAGACCATTGACTGAATTTTAAAAAGCGGGTCTTCGTTAACATCACAGATATAATTAAGCGCCGCCTCGCATTGCCTTCCTTCAGATCTAAACCTATAAAGCATTCAAGTAAACAAGACAAATTCATTAACATCTCCCCCCATCATTTTCTCGAAGGCAATTTCACCTTCATTTCAAGACCCACGCAATATATTCAGATCTAAACCTATAAAGCATTCAAGTAAACAAGACAAGTTCATTAACATTTCCCCTTATCATTTTCTCGAAGGCAATTTTATCTTCCTTTCAAGACCCACGCAAACCTCCGGTCTCACCTTCCTCTCACCTCGTCAAAGCCGTTGAAGATGGTGAGTGAACGGCCGGACACCTCCAGACACTTCTTCCCTTCGCCAGACACATCTCCGTCGGTGAACTTGAGGCCAGACAAGGTTGGGATTCGCTCAACGCCCTTCTGCAGGAACTCGCTCATGGACACTTATGGGGGGGGGGAGACAGAAAGAGAGAGAGTTGGGTATCTTTGTGGTTAATTGTGGAATCAAGTTGATTTATGTGTTTATCCACCGAGAAACTTACATTATGCATGCACTTACTCACCCACTCACGCACATTAACTTACTCATTCGCATTCGGATTCGCTCTCTCTCTCTCTCTCTCTCTCTCTCTCTCTCTCTCTCTCTCTCTCTCTCTCTCTCTCTCTCTCTCTCTCTCTCTCTCTCTCTCTCTCTTTCTCTCTCTCGCTCTCTCTCTCTCTCTCTCTCTTTTCTATACTAAAACGTTTCCAGTCTTAAATTTACTGCTCAGATTTCCCTATCTTGTTCATATTTCTCCCCTCGCCCTGTCTAAAATAAATACACAAAGAAAGAAAACAAGGAATGAAAAAAAAATAAAACAGACTATATCACCAAATCAAACAAAACTGCAACGTGCTCATAATATTACACCCATAACCATTCTCCACAACTTATTAATTAATTGTTATTATTAATAATAATAATAATAACAGTAATAATAATAATAATAATAATAATAACAGTAATAATAATAATAATAATAATAACAGTAATAATAATAATAATAATAACAGTAATAATAATAATAATAATAATAATAATAACAGTGATAATAATAACAATAATAGTAACAATAATAACTGTGATAATAATAACAATATTAATAATAGTAATAATAATAACAATAATAATAATAATAACAACAATAATCATTCCCTTCAAAACCCGAACTCCTCAGTTGCTCACGATTAACCTGAGTCTTCATGGGGATGTGATAATAGAAGAGCGGTGTGCGTGGACATGCCTTCGCCACCTCCACCATGTAGTCTACGAGTTCATCGGTGCTCCGGGGCTTGTCGAAGATGCAGGGGAAGACCGCTATTCCACACGCCCCTAGGGACTCGGCGTGTCTGGCCTGTGGGAGGTGGGATGAGGGGAGGTTTGTTATTTTTTTTAGGGGGGTAGGGTGGGGAGGAGGGAGGAAGCTTGGGGTGGGGGTGGGGATGATTGTTTGTTTTTGTGTGTTTTGTCAAGCTCTGTGTCTGTCTATGTTTTTGTCTCTGTCTATCTTACCCCCCCCCTCTCTCTCTCTCTCTCTCTCTGCCTCTCTGTCTCTGTCTCTCTCTCTCTCTCTCTCTCTCTCTCTCTCTCTCTCTCTCTCTCTCTCCCTCTCTCCCTCTGTCTCCTATGTGTGGTGAATATAGTGAATCAACAACATAACAGGAAAGGATAATTCTGCATCTCACCAGCTCCTGAGTATCCAGTAGACATCCTGCCCCACACTGGATAATCACGGTGCCCACGTCCTTCTTGCAGGCCAGCCAGGCTTCGGCTAACTTCTTCCTCTCAGCCACGGTCATGGACATCCCTTCGCCTGCCGTGCCATTCACTGCCAGGGATAAAATGCGGTGGTTGTGAGGTGGACGATGTGACGGGCGGGTGAGATTTCTTGTCTCAATTCTTTGTTTCTTTCTTGGTCTCTTTGGCTTCTCCCTCTCTCTTTTGTTCGCCTCTCTCTCTCGTCTCAGTCCTCTCTCTTTCGTCTCAGTCCTCTCTCTCTCTCTCCCTCTCTCTCTCACTCTCTTTCACACTCTCTCTCTCTCTCTCTCTCTCTCTCTCTCTCTCTCTCTCTCTCTCTCTCACTCTCTCACACACACACTCTCTCTCTCTCTCTCTCTCTCTCTCTCTTTCTTCCTCCTTCTCCCGATCTCCCCTTTACACAATCTCTCCCTCTCTTCCTCTGTACACCAAATGATATCTAAAACTCATGTGTCACCTGTTTTTGCATGCTATAATTACAATATCTTAATTTGTTATTAGCAAGTAGACATTAGAATGAGGCAGCAATTCAAATACTTTATATTTTTCAAGAAAGATTTTTTCGACAACATTATTAACTAAAAAATGTAACCGGGAAGGTAACTGTATACGTCAGCAATTTTTTTTCTCTCTTTTTTTTACAAGACGCGGTGCTTTACCCACGAAGTTTGGACATACTTCAAAGTCTTCATCCGTAATTAAACAGGAAAAACGATCCCCTAAAATTTATCAAGTTAATAATGATGACGAGCAAACAAGGAGCAAGACAACCACTTTATCTCAAGGTCTTATCTCGTGTGAAACAAACAGCTGATACATCATGTTATTTACAACTCATATGATAAAATCCCCATAAAATTTCAAAGTTGGCATCACTATGTTTTATTTTATATCCAAAGCTCAAGTTCAGCTTAAATTTTGCCGACATGAAAATAAATGAACAATGTTACATTTGTTCAAGATACAGACTGATAAGATAACAGGGGATATTAATGTTCTACAACACACACTCTCTCACACACACACACACACACACACACACACACACACACACACACAGAGAGAGAGAGAGAGAGAGAGAGAGAGAGAGAGAGAGAGAGAGAGAGAGAGAGAGAGAGAGAGAGAGAGACCTATCGACAGAGAGAGAGAAAGAAAGAGAGAAAGAGAGAGAGAGAGAGAGAGAGAGAGAGAGAGAGAGAGAGAGAGAGAGAGAGAGAGAGAGAGAGAGAGAGGGAGAGAGAGAGAGAGAGAGTGAGTGAAACAGACCTACCTATAAACAGAGAAAGAGACAGACAGACCGATAGACAGACAGAGTGAGGCAGAGAAAGACAGGAACAGAGAAGAAAAAAATATACAGGGGAAGAAATCTGCCCACAGTATACAAGGAGCGAAATCTCCACACTCACCCCACGCCCCTGTAACACCCGTCTTCCGCAGGTGCTTCGCGTAGGCAGGGATAACGTCGAGGTTCAGCGATCTGCAGGCGGCAAAGGAGGTGAGTGTGGTAGGCTGAATACTTGTGATGACTACGTATACATACGCGCGGGGATACATACATACATACACCCGCACGCACGCACAATCACACATACACGCACACATCCCGGCATGAATATAGGTATGCACACACACAAACACATATATGAATATATTGTATATGATCTTTCTTTGCTTATCTTTTCTCTGTCTCTCTTTATAATATATATGTATATATATACACATATATATGTATGTGTATATATATATATCATACATACATATACATATATTATACATACACGCACACACAAATATACATATATATCTATATCTATATATATCTATCTATCAATCTCTCTCTCTCTCTCTCTCTCTCTCTCTCTCTCTCTCTCTCTCTCTCTCTCTCTATATATATATATATATATATATATATATATATATATATATATATATATATATACATATATATATATACATATATATATATACATATATATATATATATACATGTATATATATACATATATGTATATATATATATATATATATATATATATATATATATATATATATATATATATATACATGTATATATATATGCATATATATATGCATATATGTATACATATATATATATATATATATATATATATATATATATATATATATATATATATATATATATATATATATATATATATATATATATATATATATACATGTATATATATATATATACATATATGTATATATATATATATATATATATATATATATATATATATATATATATATATATATATATATATGCATTTACATTTCTACTGCAGAACGTTCACCCATCACCACCGCCAAACGCGCGAAATCACAACCCATCACAACCACATACAACCTACGTACCCATCGCTGTGAAAGGGAGCGAAAGTCGGCGCCATCATTCCGTGGAAGGTGAATTTGGCCTGAATTTAGAGGATAAAAAAAAGTTGGTTGTAATTAGCTTTGTGTTCTTTCCTAATGTAATTGTGTGTGGCTGCAATGTGAGTCATATATTTATAATACAGGTAATTTATAATACAGGTACATTGTGTGTGTTTAATAACTAATGAGGGTATTGCATTCAAACATACTTTGTTTAACGTTGGGACATGAGTTTGAATATTTATACCTTCACTTCTCTGATACACAGTTACGTAAATATTTTAAAAAATACTTACCTGTCTACTGACAAAGAGAGGGTATAATAGTTTTATTGTGAAATAAGAATGTCTCGTCGTATCGAGACATTTTATCATTCACACTAATTGAAATTTCAAGAATGAGGGATTATGCATACATAATGATTACACTTTTATGTATATGTATATGTACATATATATGTGTGTATATATATATATATATATATATATATATATATATATATATATATATATATATATATATATATAATATAATATATAATATACATACATACATGTACACATATACATATACATATATATATATAAATATATATATATATATATATATATATATATATATATATATATATATATATATATATATACACACACACACAGACAAACGTGTGTGTGTGATTTTTGTAACCCTGTTGGTTTCTTCTACTGCCAGCATCATTTAAGAATTTCAAAGAATAATAAGCATTTTTACAATCTATGTGAATTCTCATGCTTGAGATGTAGACCATGTTCGACCCTCCCCTTCACTAAACATGGTCGTTTGTCGAATAACACGGCGGGCTTACCATGGCTGCTGATCTACAGGTCCTCTCTGGAAGGAAGAAATAATGTACCTTAATTTCTGACACATATAATACATAGAGAGATGTCAAAAAAAACTAACTTTAAATATATAAACATACGAGCGCTTGTTGCTAACTCACGCAAGAGATAATGCCAAGCCTTTTATATGTCTTTTATAAAATCGACATAGAGATAGGAAAGGATAAAATATTTGCTTCGCACATTCATCAACCTTGATACTAAACAGTTCGACGAAGCAACACACAAACACCTTCTCAGCAAACATAAATTAAGATGATGATGATGATGATGATGATGGTGATGATGATGATGATGACTATGACAATGATGATGATGATGATGATGATAATGATAACAATGATAACATAACGAAGAATTCTCACAATCAAACAGAATAAAGTCGAACCTCCAGTGACAGGGTGAGAACTATACAATATGTTCTTATACCCACCAGGACCTGACTACCACTGCAACTCAAGGACCAAAGTTCGGGTAGTTGTTGTCGGGGGGCTTGGTTGCCAACTAGTGAGAACCCAAGAAACCGTGTAAGAAAATTTGCTCTAAATTTCGCTCTATGTTATGACTTTGCTTAATCAAATTTCGTTTACATTTATCGGATTACAAGTGTGGGTTTGTGATTTTTTTTCATTATGAAGGAATTGTACAGCGAAAACAAAACTTATCTTGTAGAAATAAGGATTTTCACAGCACGTAGATATCACGAGAAAGTGTTTAGAGACCGAAATCATAAGAAACGGAGAGACAACAAGTCAACACTCAAGACAGACTGAACATGTGTGGTTAAAGGAAAATGCATCGTCCTTGGTGTTGATTGTAGAAGCGACATCTTCACTGATCTTTATAACAGAGGTGGTGGTAATGAAAATGAATCAGTTCATTCATCTGACTACAATTATACCATCCATTATTCTTTGATATTTGTGCGCTGTTATTTGTCCTTTCTGCTTTTGAGAAATAACTTGAACAGCAAAGTTGTCTCTGATATATTTTCTCTCCTTAAGAGTAATCGTAGACAATGAAAATATGAATAAAACGAATGAATAATTACAGAGGTTTTCATTCATTACTTCGAAATGCAAATCAGATATACCCGTTAATGGTATAAAAAAAACGTAAATGATGACAAAGAAATAGTAAAGTTAAACACATTATATGACACAAACGTCATCAGACAGACTTACTGGTAAACATGTGTTTTGCTGTAGCTGGGGAGAA